TCCAAATTCCAAATTCCACAAATTCCAAATTCCACAAATTCCAAATTCCACAAATTCCAAATTCCACAAATTCCAAATTCCACAAATTCCAAATTCCACAAATTCCAAATTCCACAAATTCCAAATTCCACAAATTCCAAATTCCACAAATTCCAAATTCCACAAATTCCAAATTCCACAAATTCCAAATTCCACAAATTCCAAATTCCACAAATTCCAAATTCCACAAATTCCAAATTCCAAAAATTCAAAAAATTCCAAATTCCAAATTCCAAATTCCAAATTCCAAATTCCAAAAATTCCAATCCCAAATCTCTGAACTCTCAATTTTCAACCCCCAAATCTCCAAATTCGCGCCCAATCCTCGCGCTCTGATTGATCCGTGTTTTTCCTTAATAATTCAAAAACGAAGCTTCAAACTCCATTTTTGCAAAGGAAAATCTTATTCAGAATCGTGTCATCTACTCCCTATTTCATTGACCTACACTAATTGTGAGACACCCTGTATGTCACACCCTAACATCTCAAAAAAGACAAAACCAGTACTCAACATTCTAAAAATCACATCTCATCAAACATTCCATCAAAGTAAATTACCAAAAATTTTCGTAATCGCAGACAAAAGAAAAAATAGGTAAAATAAGGGTATCAGTATTATTTCACACAGGGTCTACAACGTAGTACATCACTGATTTAACACCCTCGGAAAGACGCTCCTCCGATTAACCAATTACCGTTGACAAAGGTGTGTCCCTCAACAAGGGTAGTCTAAGATGCAATTTAGCAGTAATTGTCCAACCGGGAAAGTCTGTAGTGTGTGTTTCTTTTCCTTTTCTTCTTGTACGGTGGGTTCCAGAAGAGGACCGGAGGAACTCTAACCTGCGGACCAACGGGACCAAGACAGCCGGAGGTTTGGGTTAAGCTGGAACCAAGACTACTCTCCACTGCCGAGGCGCACTCGACAAGGGGGCGTCTACGACCCCAGTCGTAAGATGAAAGGGTGAGAGAATCAGGGTACGGAGAGGGAAGATTGGCGGAGGAACGAGCTCAAGAAGGGTATCAAGATTGCATGGTCTATAAGGGAATATTAGATCGCTGCGGATGAAATGTCGGATTTTTATCGTGAAGAGTTGCGACGCTTTCTGCCTTTGCAATCCCCTTTTCACCTTCTTTTATCGACGCCTAGACGTGGGAATTTTCAACCTGCGACAGAACGTGAGTTGTTCCAATTTTTTACCGTTCCAGGTTTTTTACGGCGTAAAGGAATTTCTTTGAGAATAATTTATAGTGTCTTTGATACGTAGGACTCTTAGGTTATGAATTTTTTCAATTTCTCTGCTCCTGGGAGATGGTAGCTTGAAGCTTATATAAATATCAGA